TAATTATTATTATTAATTATTATTATTATTATCAGTGAAAAAATAAATGCAAAAATACAATGTCCACTACAATGCACATAAATGAATAGGTCGGGTCTCAGGAGGTTAATGAGGAAATGGGTTCCTACTGCATCACTGAACTCCTGGAATGCGGTGTACCAGGTGGTTGTCCCTTCTCCATTTAGACAACAAGTTTTATCGCTTGCCCACGACCATCCTTTTTCCGGTCACTTGGGGGTGAGTAAGACACATGAGCGCATTCTGAGACATTTCTTTTAGCCTGGTATTAAAGGTATTATTTTGTATTGTCGCACTTGTCACAAATGTCAAGTGTCTGGTAAACCCAATCAGGTGGTTCCCCTTGCACCGCTTCGACTTATACCGGTGGTAGGAGAACCATTCGAACATATCCTGGTTGATTGTGTGGGTCCTCTTCCGAAGTCTTGTGCAGGACATAGTTACTTATTGGCTCTCATGTGTATGACAACTCATTACCCTGAAGTTTTCAGTCACTCTGTTCGTGGACCGCTTAAGTTGTTACAGGAGCAATGATTGTCGCCTGTACCGGCTGCTCAGCCTAAACCTGTCTCGGCTTATGTTGAATCGCTTCATTCAAGGTTGCATGCGGCGTGGGATTGTGCTCGAGCTTCTTTGACTGCTTCCCAGAAAGAGATGAAGTCACACTATGATTTGAATGCGATCGAATGCTCTTTTCAGGTTGGAGATCGCATGTTGGTTTTGTTGTCTTTGCCTCATTCCTCTCTTCAGGCACGATTTTCGGGAGCCTACATGATTTCCAAGAAACTCAGTGATACGGATTATGTTTTTGACACTGCCGATTGTAAGCGCAAGTCCCGGGTATGTCATGTAAACATGCTAAAGCCTTATCACATTACAGAAGTTGCAGAGGTAGTCCAACTCCTCCAGGATGGTGCATCAATTCGTGCCATTGCCAGAAGGTTTGCTGGGTCTCCCAGCATAGTCTCAAGGGTGTGGAGGAGATTCCAGGAGACAGGCAGTTACTCTAGGAGAGCGAGACTGGGCCGTAGGAGGTCCTTAACCCATCAGCAGGACCAGTACCTGCTCCTCTGTGCAAGAAGGAACAGGATGAACACTGTCAGAGCCCTACAAAATGACCTCCAGCAAGCCACTGGTGTGAATATCTCTGACCAAACAATCAGAAACAGACTTCATGAGGGTGACCTGAGGGCCCGACGTCCTCTAGTGGGCCCTGTGCTGTGGTGCTCGATTGGCATTTGCCATAGAATACCAGAATTGGCAGGTCCACCACTGGCACACTGTGCTTTTCACAGATGAGAGCAGGTTCACTCTGAGCACATGTGACAGACGTGACATACGTGCAATTAGGTATCCGCATGAAATCCTTGGACCTATTGTCAAACCCTACTCTGGAGCAGTGGGTCCTGCGCTCCTCCTGGTGCACGACAATGCCCGACCTCATGTGGTGAAAGTATACAGGCAGTTCCTGGAGGATGAAGAAATTGACACCATTGACTGGCCCCCACGATTGCCTGACCTAAATCCAATAGAACACCTCTGGGACATCATCTTTCAGTCAATCCGACGCCACCAGGTTGCACCTCAGACTGTCTAGGAGCTCAATGATGCCCTGGTCCAGATCTGGGAGGAGATCCCCCAGGACACCATCCATCAATCTCATTAGGAGGATGCCCCGACATTAACAGGCATGCATACAAGCACATGGGGGCCATACAAACTACTGAGTATGATTATGAGTTGCTGCAATGAAATTTCGGCAAAATGCACTCGCCTGCCACATCATTTTTTCACTTTGATGTCTTTGAATTCAACCCTCTGTAGGTTGATAATTTTCATTTCCATCAAACGATGTGGCATCCATTCATTTCTAACACATTGCCTAGTCCATACCAGTATAGATATTTTTTATACTAGATTTTTTTTCCCCCATTAAGATCTAATGTGTTTTCAAAGTGTTCCTTTATTTTTTTGAGCAGTGTATATATACATATACAGCTATGGAAAAACTTAAGAGACCAAGCAATATTTTTTAAAGATCTGCATTTTTAAATCCTGATTTAATCCTGGTTCTGCTGGCAGAAGGCTACACCATTAGGCAGGTTGCTTCCAGGCTCAAAGTTTCTAAGACAGCAGTAGAAGAACAAGGTGAAGCAGGAGACACTGGCAATAACCAAAAACCAGCCAGGTAGAGGGCAGAAGCAACTTTCTAATGCCAGAGATGACCGTCAACTTATCCAGCAGTGCCTCATAAACCATAGTGACATCAAGTGACCGTCAAAAAGAATGGGAAACATTAAGTGGTATGAAGTCCACTGCTAGGACAGTTCATAACAGGCTCCTAGAAGCAAGACTGAAGACCCATAAAGCAAGGAAGAAGCCCTTCATAAATGAGAGGCAGGGAAAAGCCAGGCCGGAGTATGCAAAATTAATAACTGAAAAATATTATACACAGACGCATGCTCATAAATTGAGAAATGAGTGAAACTGAAAATTTTCTTGTGGTCTCAATTTTTTCCAGAGCCCCTTTTTTGGTATATATAGCATTATCATTGTTTACATTTATCAATCTGTATTTCAAGAAAAATAAAAAACATTAAGAGCATTTCAATGGACTATGTTTTACTCAATATAATGACAGACATAATGTGTAAATTCACTGTGCTTTCTTTCACGCTACATGCCCCCTCCTCAAGTTTTTCATTTCCCACACCATGGCTGTAGTAATTTCTGAGGAGTGTGCAGCTGCAAACACCTCCTTCAGGCACCTTCTGGTTCATGCATGTGCAGGAAAACTGGCCATTATCAAGCCCCCCCAGAAGAGAATCAAACAAGGAATGAAGCACAGTGATATCTTTGATATGGAAGCTCAAGAGGAAAAAAAGTAAGTTAACTTTTCATGTATTGTTAATTTTTTTTCTTTGTCTCCAAGGAGGCATTCCTTTACATATACATATTTATGCTTCTTTACTTAAAAAATAAAAAAACTTGTACACTGCCTTCTATTTCATGACATTTTACATTATGATGGTATGTTACGTCTATCATAACACGGATTGTTTTGATGTTTTCAGACAATTACATGCATAAATACATCTCAGAGAAAAAAAACAATTCTTCACATTCTCTTACAGCTTACACATGAATTTGCAGGATCTGACTCATATTAACATAACTTATCAATCAAATGAACCGATTATTTGACACTAAAAATGCACTTGTTAGAAATCCAGCTTTCATTGCACAAATAACAAATGCATTACAATGTCAACAGTACTCTCATCCTGCAGCCCTTTAATACCTGTAACCATCTCTGTTTGAAGCCATTCATAGAAAAGTTATCTGATGAAGATAATGGTCAGTGACAAGTAAACGACCAATGANGCCAGAGATGACCGTCAACTTATCCAGCAGTGCCTCATAAACCATAGTGACCTCAAGTGACCTTCAAAAAGAATGGGAAACATTAAGTGGTATGAAGTCCACTGCTAGGACAGTTCATAACAGGCTCCTAGAAGCAAGACTGAAGACCCATAAAGCAAGGAAGAAGCCCTTCATAAATGAGAGGCAGGGAAAAGCCAGGCCGGAGTATGCAAAATTAATAACTGAAAAATATTATACACAGACGCATGCTCATAAATTGAGAAATGAGTGAAACTGAAAATTTTCTTGTGGTCTCAATTTTTTCCAGAGCCCCTTTTTTGGTATATATAGCATTATCATTGTTTACATTTATCAATCTGTATTTCAAGAAAAATAAAAAACATTAAGAGCATTTCAATGGACTATGTTTTACTCAATATAATGACAGACATAATGTGTAAATTCACTGTGCTTTCTTTCACGCTACATGCCCCCTCCTCAAGTTTTTCATTTCCCACACCATGGCTGTAGTAATTTCTGAGGAGTGTGCAGCTGCAAACACCTCCTTCAGGCACCTTCTGGTTCATGCATGTGCAGGAAAACTGGCCATTATCAAGCCCCCCCAGAAGAGAATCAAACAAGGAATGAAGCACAGTGATATCTTTGATATGGAAGCTCAAGAGGAAAAAAAGTAAGTTAACTTTTCATGTATTGTTAATTTTTTTTCTTTGTCTCCAAGGAGGCATTCCTTTACATATACATATTTATGCTTCTTTACTTAAAAAATAAAAAAACTTGTACACTGCCTTCTATTTCATGACATTTTACATTATGATGGTATGTTACGTCTATCATAACACGGATTGTTTTGATGTTTTCAGACAATTACATGCATAAATACATCTCAGAGAAAAAAAACAATTCTTCACATTCTCTTACAGCTTACACATGAATTTGCAGGATCTGACTCATATTAACATAACTTATCAATCAAATGAACCGATTATTTGACACTAAAAATGCACTTGTTAGAAATCCAGCTTTCATTGCACAAATAACAAATGCATTACAATGTCAACAGTACTCTCATCCTGCAGCCCTTTAATACCTGTAACCATCTCTGTTTGAAGCCATTCATAGAAAAGTTATCTGATGAAGATAACGGTCAGTGACAAGTAAACGACCAATGAAACAAATTAGTAGTATATTTGATTTTAATGGACTGTTCGATTGTTATTTAATATACTTAACAGACATTTTCTACAGCTTTGGAATATAGCAGACACATACTACCAAAACAAAGAAAGAATATTATACCCCACATAAATGACAGAACAGCAATACTGATTTGGAGAGCACAGTCCAACCTTGTTTGTATGTTCTGTCGTATTATAATGCCTGAATTATCACACTGAACGGGACATGGGTATTCACTCTGTAAAATAGAACAGACAGAACAGAGCAAATACTTTGTATTTTGTTGCTTCAGATTACTTTTTAATTATGATTTAACTTTGTTTTGTTGAGCTTTGGTTTGCCATCAATTTAACTGCCATCAGTGTTTGACATCAATTTCATTTCGCTTTATTGGTTTTAAATGAGAGAGACCTGGTTTATACAAGCTACCACCTTCATGACAAAGTGAGATTCACCAGCTCCAGATGGTCATCTTTCCGAGCTCCAACCAGGCCAGCTCCATCTCCCAGGGGGTCTCACTGTGCAAGGGGCAGCTGGGAGATGGTCATGGAAACATGGTGGTTGATGGTGATCTGCTGCCGTGTCTGACAACGTAGCATCCCGGCAATGGCCCTTCTGAACCTGAAAAACTCAGAAAGAGGACATTAAAGTAGTTCAATCAGTGCCAGAACCAGGCCCGTTTCATCTGTGAATGGAATGATACAAGATATATAAGTAAAATAATTAATCTTTTTCACACCATTGCATATATGAGTGTTTTGCATCACAGTGGTCTGGCTAGTTATACAGTAGCTCATTTTCTGAAAGAAGGCATAAGCAGGACTTACTTTTTGTTGGCAATCACATATATGCAGGGGTTATAGAAGGTGGATGATTTGGCAAAAAGAGGTGCGATGATCGCCATGGTAGCGGGAATTGTTCTGGGGTCGCCGAAGGATGCCCAAAGGCACACAATGGCGTATGGTGACCAGGCCACAAGAAACATCAGAATCATCACTATGGACATCTGATGATAACAATAGAGAGTAAATGGGACAGTCTATTGTGTTTCTCTGTCAAGTAAGCTACTGTAACTGAGAAACAGCCTCATTAAGCTTGATTGTGTGGCATTTATTGTCCATTTAAACTGTCATTCAAATTACAAATTGAAAGCAAGTTACTCTCAACAGACTGGAAACTTTGCTAGTACAGTAATCCAACTGTATTCACAGTTTACCATGGTCTGTGAAAAAAATAGTTAAATGTGTAACAATACATTTTTTTCATTTTTTCCTTTGAGGGATATAAAAAGCACGGTTGTCATTGCTCCATCATCTCTTGAGAATTAGGATAAATTGAATCTCTTTCATTTGAAAAAGTACAGTACTGTACAGTACTGTATAATGATGAACAATGTACTTTATTGATACTGCTTCTAATGTTGGCAATGTATTACTATGCAAAATTTCTCAATTACCATATGTAAGTACCAATCTTGCGAAGTAGCTACCTAACATTAGCGACGCTACTAACTTTTTTCAGTAGCTTATCAGTAGCACAGATATTTCAAAAACGCTGTAGCTTTTCCAAGTAGCTAACTTTTTTTTTTACAAATAGCGATGTAGCTTGGTAAAACGCTACATCGTTAAAAATACTACATCATTGACTTGTGACCTTTGCAACTTATGATGACGTGACTGTATGACAGTTTCCGCAAGCATCCCCATGAGACGCTCATTCATTCATTCATCTCATGCTCAGGCGACTGTTCGCAGTGGTCACAGTAAAGCATACATTTGTGTTTCAGCAGCCTAAAATGGTGATAAAAAGGTTTTAACAATAATGAACTAAGAAAATGGTGAGAAAAAGGTTAAAAACATTAAACAATATGGCTTAAAGATGATATAATTTTATTATACAGTATACTATACATGATAATTTTGAGGAATACTTTGGGATGGATGTTAAAGGGTTGAAAAATACTTCACGGCAAACAATATTTTAGACACTTTCATTAAAATGCATACGGGCACAGATTTTCAAAATCTCTTGTTTTTGTTGTAACTCTTCTAATTTTCACAAAGCAATTGTGAAAAACTCTTGGTTTACACCAAATACAGAAAGATTTTTGAAACCTTATTGTGATTTGACATTACATTGTTAAGAAATATAGTTTCATTTCAACTTTTAACATCATGTTTCCTATTTTTTAGTTAAGTTGATTTAAGAGTATCCTATAGCACAAATATTAAGTATTACCAGATGAAATAGCTTTGATGTAGTTAGCTACTTTTTCTCTGTAGCTTGCAGTGTAGCTAATTACTATACAGTGGTACCTCGGTTCTCGAACTTAATCCGTTCCGGACTCCGGATCGAATCCTAAAAAGTTCGAGTTCTGATAAAATTTTTCCCATAAGAAATAATGGAAAACCAATTAATTGGTTCCCGGCCCCCCAAAATTACATATTAAATATTATTATTTTTTACATTTTCTTTAGCATTTAAACACAAAATGAACAGGATAAAACAAGAAGAGCATTTTTTTATTAATGGCTTCCAAAACGATAAAGATCTTATCCCAACATTACCCCTGTCCTGCCCCAATCGTCCGCTCCTTCCGTGTGTCACGCCGCCTTATTAACCTCGTCTGGGATCCCCATGTGATCAGCTGTTTCTGGTTGTTGTCATTAGTCCTCTGTACTAAGTCTGCGTTTCAGTTGGTTTCCCCAGTACGGTCATTGGGTGCGTTCGACTTGCTTACAGCGCTACAAAGCAACGCATTCTGATCCTGACGCAATGCATTACTGTTAGATGCATTGCGACCTCTCACCCGGCTGCACAAACTGGAACCGCCTTCGTGACGACACACCTTTGCCCTTATTGGCTGACGTTTGCATCCCTGGCAGTTCCGATGCGTAATCTGCTATTTCTCCCAAATATCACGTAAAGCAGTGAGAACTGGTTTTCAGTTAATTTACCTGGTAAAATAAAGTTTAAATAAATGACATAAATGCTCTAATAGTACACGTAAGTTAGTGGTTTATTCATTGTTAATTACTGTAACATTGCGCTGCTTTATTTGGTTAATCGTTCAGTCTGTGAAGAAGGCATTCAAGTAAGAATTGCATTGTAGTATGACTCATTTCCTGGCATGTACAATTTATATTAGGTCAGCATTCACGGTTCGACTTCTGATATTCAGATCGAGTTCTAGGTCAAACTGGTTTGTTCGACTTTCAAGAAATTTGAGTTCTAGTGAGTTCGAGAACCGAGGTACTACTGTATTATAATAGTAGCTTGGCTGTAGCTTAGCTACTTTTAGTCATAAGTAGCTTGTAGCTTGAAAAGCTACCATTTAAAAGTAACTTCCCCAACACTGTTAAGTACACGAAAATCATATTATAAACGTGGGCGTGGAGATCGCTATTGTCCATGGTAGGTTTTGGAATGTATCACTTGTGTATACGGGGGGGCTACTATACTGTCAGACTTTGTAATATAATGACAAATATGTGGACTGGCTGGGGGGCCCTACGGACTGGTTTGAGAAACTGGTTTGTGAACTAGTCACATGATTTGTACCAGAGACCTTCAGCTGGGCACAGAGACCTAACCTTCAGTCTTACACCAACCTTGGAAGTCTTAAAACACTTAAAAATGTTTTGTGTACAAGTGAATTATGACGGAGTCTTTTGACTTACATCATGAACCAGATAATAACCATTTGTTTTGAAAACATATCTATTATAAATTTCCTCTTTAAAGGGGTATAATAATGTTGCTTCCATCCATCTTGTAGCACTACCTTGTGCAATATGCTGTTTTGCCCCAAGTTCCAGGCCTCCAAAACCGTGACTCAGATACTGTAAGTACAGTGGTACATTGGAAGACAGAAGGCTGGCTGAGTTGGCATTTGGTTGAGTTGCAAGTGGAATTTCCCAATAAAAACAATGCAAATGAATTTAATCTTAGACCCATAAGTGATTGCCTATCAAAACTTATCTACCTACCTAACTAATTATAAAAAGCATTAACAATCAATATAAAACTAATACGCACATGAAAAATCGCATACAAAAGCAATAAACATGAAATAAATTACAATCCCACACAGATATACGTGCCCGACCTTCAAGTATTGCTATCGTTTCCTTTTTAAGTTCTACAGTCACTCTTACTACTTTCCTCTTTGGTTTGCTGCTATCACTGCTCACTTTCTTAGGGGCTATAATTACTGTATCCCTAAATGTACTCTAGATACTGTAAAGCACAAAAAAATTTCATACCAAACCCAGGAACACAGCTTTCACATGTTGCGAGACTGAGAGTGATTCATAGGCATCAGCATCCCAGTAGGTCAATTTGCCTTTGTTTCCACTCGTCAGAGACGCGTCTCAATCTATACAAGTTTTAGCAGGTCTGTTTTGTTTTGTCGTGTTCTGAGTTTCCGGTCGAGTTGCAGTTAAATTTATCTCGACCAACCCGTTCGAGGTCCATATTGGTACAGTTGACTCATACAAGTTTTAGCAGGAATGGTCAAGTTCCAAGATTTTGGTGCAAGTCAGAAAAAATTCAATAGACCCATTCAATGTCTGAGTTGGTTGAGTTAAGAGGAGTTCCAAGGTTCTACTGTAATTGGAAGATAGAAAGGTGGATAATATGGTAAATATTCAGATATGTCATGCAAGTAAAAGGATATTGTGAGGCGAATGGGCACTGCTGGCTTACCTTGGTGACGTCTATCTGGTCAGACCAGTCAAGGTTGATGACATCCAGGCAGTTGCTGGAAATGTATCTCTTCATGGACGTAGAAACATTGTAGTAACAGTAAAACATGGCCAACAGGGGAATGAGGAAATTCACAAGTACTACGGCCATGGTGTAGGAAACAAAAGACCTGCAAAGGGGGTGTAACAATGCATTATGTAATAATACTGCATTATGTAACAATTCAACAAAATGCAACAAATTTTCACTTCATTATGTAACAGCACCTGCATGTTATAATAATCTGCCGCAATTTGTAATAGACATCTTGAATGCAATATGAGTTTCCCTGCATTTTATAATAAATTATTACATATTGTGGTATTACAAAATGCGGGAGTTGCACTTTTTAATGATGAAAATGTAATACTGCGCATCATGTAATAAATAACCAAATTGGACGATACTTTGTTGTTGTTAATACTTAATGTGTTGTTACAGAGAGCATTAACTGTAAAGGAATTGTGACAGAAAACGGAATTTCTTAGACATTACGTCCATCATTTTGCTGAGTAAAACAAAACATTCAAAGCATCTGATTCGACTATTTGTCTTGAAATGCACAGTGATTAATTTGGCTTTGAATATAGTTATTTTAATAATGAATCATATCAAGACAATAGAAAGTCGTATCCACTTACCTGCATATTTTTTTGGTACATGAAATAACAGGTTGCACAGCCATAGCAGTGCTTAGTTTGAACAGCAGGGTGGAGAATGTCAGCATGGTGCCTGACAGACAAAAAAAAAAACACTCACCAGTCATTGTTCCTCCAGTTGATGGTGCAGGTGGCCCCGGTGGGATCTGGGGCGTAGCTCGCCCATCCCACCACGGGCATGGAGGCCCAGAAGAGGGCGTTGGTCCAGGCAGCTAATATCATTAAGGTATAGGAGCTTGTGTTCATCTTCTGTCCTTTTGGGAGAAAGTAGCAGACATGAGATGCAATAATTTGCCATCATCAAATGCACAGAGTACCCTATTCAGGGTACAGTTCAAATAATGTATGAGGGTATGACCTGGTCAATTAACAAAAGTTCACAATTAATAAAGGTGAGAGTCACTATGTGATGCCCTGGTGTTCCTTTATTTACATATTTCTCTGTTATCCTTTTTTCATTTTTTTTTATCTACCTATCTTGGTGCTTCAATCACTATACTGTACTTCTCAAAGTGAACATAAAATGTATAAGTCAATATTCAATATATCCTAGGATGTAAAACATTGTTCCTCTAAATATGCAGCTCTGGAATAAATTAAGCGTCCACAGCAAAACTTTCAGGGACCTATTTTCCACTGGTGCAAAAAGGCTTAAGTGGACAGTGCTGCTCCCGGAGATGAGGTACTTGTGCATTTTCACCTCGTGCACCAGCACATCTGTTTCCTCATGTGAAATGCAATCTGGCTTGCCAGGCAAATGCGCCACTGTAACAATCTGTAACAATCAATTATACTTTGCGTTAGATTGTCAAAATAGAGTTCTCAGTCTCACTCATTTCTTAGTTTATGGGTATGTCCCTGTGTGAGATATACATTTTACAAACTCAAGCCTGGCTCTTCCCTACTTTGCATTGATGAAGAGATTCTTTCTTGCTTAATGGGTCTTCAGTCCTGCTTCTAGGAGCCTGATACATACTGTCTTAGCAGTGCACTTCACACCACTTAATGTTTTCCATTCTTTTTGAAGGTCACTTGAGATCATCCTCTTATTTATGAACACCTGCAGCTAAGAAGGGAACTTAAGACTCTTAACAGGCAGTATAAACAAGCCACCTCAGAAGTAAAAGGGGGCATTAAAGATCTGACCACTGAGTTCTGAGGGCAACTACACAGGCTGAAAATTGCAGAAAGGTCTCTGAGACTGAGAAAGGAGAAGGAGGCCAAGTGAGCTCAGTTCATCAAGGACCCATGCAGGTTCACTAAGACTCTGCTGGACGAAGCAAGATCTGGGAGACTGACCAGCCCGAAAGAGGTTGTGGAAGAGTTCCTCAAGGAAAGCCACAGTGACCCACTTAGAACCCAAGCCTTGGACATCCACCCAAGGATTGGAAGAAGTGAACTCCCAGAGGAAGAGCTTGATATCAGGGAGCCTACATGGAGAGAAGTCCAGGACATCATACTGAAATCTCGGTCAGCATCAGCTCCAGGACCAAGTGCTATACCCTACAAGGTATACTGTATAAGAGATGCCCAAAGCTCCTACGCAGATTATGGAAGCTGTTGCGGAGGATCTGGGCAAAGGGCATAATCCCAGCACCTTGGAAGAGAGCGGAAGGGTGCTTTGTACCCAAGGCAATGGACTTCTCTGTTATTGGCCAGTTCCGCACCATCTCCCTCTTGAGTGTTGAGTGCAAGATATTCTTCTCTGTCCTGGCAAAGAGGCTGACCACTTACATGGTGAACAATAAGTACATCAACACATCAGTCCAGAAAAGTGGCATCCCTGGCTTTTCTGGATG